ACTCCCTGTCGCTGACTGAAGCCTCGTGCAACGTAACGCGCCTTAAAGACAGGCGGAGAACACGGCAGCCGCTTCACCCTGAAAATCACATGCCACTGACGATGTTCGCCCCAGATGGAGGAACCTCGTCGACGTAAGTGCCTGTGGACTTCCAGGTGGCCATCTCTGCGTCCATGATTGACTGCCACTAAGAGGAGTAGGGACCCTCGACCGCCTCTGCGTAAGAGCGCGGGGTCGGGATGTCTGGTGCATCCGGGTCTCCCTCAGGTGTAATCAGCATGGACACGAGATGAGGTACAGTAGCTGCAAAACACTCAAAGTCCTCCTGCCTGTCCTCAAGGACGTCCGTGCCAAGAGCACACTCACCCCCGACGGACGGAGGACAGACAAACTCAGACTCAGCAACAAGACTAGCGGCGTAGTCAAGACGACAGCGAGCAGCAAAGTCAACCAGCTCAGCAACAAGAGCAGACGCAGCAGTAGACTCAAACGAAGGTCAGTGACAAAAGTGGCCAGTAGACGCGTGACAGTAGGACTAGCAGCACAAAGGGAGTCAGACTCCGGGTCCGGACCGTCAGCAAGGGAGGACGAAGGAGGAGACGGCAGAGGGACACGCAGTGGAACAGAGGAAGGACGAAGTGCCATCTGGTGTGTGCCGGGGCAGGAGGAGGACGCTGGCGCGGAACACGACGACCAGTGCGAACAGCGCATGATGAGATGCAGGCTCACGACGCTCTGTAAGACCTCCGGGCTGCTTTGTGTAAGGAGACAGAGCAGGCAGCGTGGAGGCTGGCTGTAAGTGCGGCTGGGACTGGTCAGGCGGTGGACACAGGAAGGGAGGAGTAAGGCCTGTAGAAGGAGGGGGACCAAGAACCTGCTGAAGCAGAGGAACGAAGTACGGCCGCGGCCGCACAGTACCTCGAGAACCAGCACCGACAGCACCAGCACCCCCAGGGTCGGCACCTCCACCAGCTCCAGCTCCAGTGGCTCCAGCTCCAGCCCCAGCAGCTCCAGCTCCAGCAGCACCTCTGACTTCAGCTCCAGTAGCACTCCCAGCGCCAGCAGCTCCAGTACCTCCAGTACGAGCACCCCCAGGACTAGTGGCGCCAGCACCTCCAGCAGCACCAGCTCTAGCAGCACCTCCAGCTCCAGCAGCTCCAGTACCTCCAGTACGAGCACCTCCGGGACCAGCGGCACCAGCACCTCCAGCAGCTCCAGCTCCAGCAGCACCTCCAGCACCAGCAGCACCGCCGGCTCCAGCAGTGCCACTCTGAAGTCTCCAGCGCCGAGCAAACCACTCGCGCAGCAGCGGTGGAGAGAGTGTCTCCCGCCGTGACAAGACACCCGGAGGACCTCCAGGCGCAGCACGCTCAGGCTCAGCACCCCCAGGCTCAGCATGCCTAGGCTCAGCAACCCCAGGCTCCGCACGCTCGGGCTTAGCACCCCCAGGCTCCGCACGCTCAGGCTCAGCACCCCCAGGCTCCGCACCCTCAGACTCAGCAACCCCAGGCTCAGCACCCATGCTCCGCACCCCCAAGCTCAGCAACCCCAGGCTCAGCACCCCCAGGTCCTGCACCCGCAAGCTCAGCACCCCCAGACGGAGTACCCCTAGCAGCACCAGAGTCGACAGCTACCTCGACAGGCTCGACAGGGTCTACCTGGGACACACCTGAGGGAGCAGGACCCTGAGGGGGGAGGGGGTTTACCGGAGGAGGACCTGGTGCGAGGAAGAGCAGCGGGGGAGGAAGAGGGGCAGTGCGGTAGGGGAAGAGACTGTAAAAGGGAACTGACTTGTCAAACGTGACGTCCTGAGAGGGCAAGATACGGCGCGAGGTGGGGTGGTAAAACTGCCAGCCAGGCGCGTCAGGGAGGAAGCTAAGGAAGACACAGGGAACGGCGCGGGAGGAGAGCTTGTCCGCGGATGTATCGCGGACAAAGGCTCGACATCCCCAGACCCTGAACACCGACGCATCTCCAACCTCTCCTGTCCAACGCAGTGTCGGCGAGGTCTCCGGCAAGGAGACACGGGGCCAGAGGTTGAGCTAATGCGCAGCGTACCGTACCGCAAACGGCCACAGAAAATGAGGGGCAGCCGCATGGATCATGGAGGTACGAGCGACCTTCATGACTAAGTCAATGCGGCGCTCAGCAACCTCATTCTGCTGCGGAGAGGCCGGAAGTGTGAACGTCTGGCGAATGCCCTCCCCACGACAAAAAACCTGGAAGAGGTTTGAGGAAAACTCACCACCTCTGTCAGAGTGCAGAGGAAGGACGGGAAGGTCCGTCTCGAACCGCTCGCGGAGCTGGAGACTAACAGCGCGGATCCAAGGGATCAAAACATCAGGGACCTCCCCCTTGTGGCGCAAGGGGAAGACTGTGGTGTAACGCGTGTAGTTGTCGACAACCAGCAGAAAGTACCGCTCGTGGCCCTGTCCACGGATGCGGGCTGGGCCCCACACCTCCAGGTGGAGAGTCTATAGAGGAGCAGTACTCGAGGGGAACAAGGAGGAGTGAGGAGCGGCGCGCTGCCGCCCCTCGACACAGGGAAGGCAGGGAGGGGCAGGTGAGGGTGGGAGGGGAGGCAGAGACCTGGGAAGACCAGAGACAAGGAGACGGGAGTAGGGGGCCGCTAGTTGACCTGACGCAGACCCAGCTACCTGAGGAGGCGCAGTAGTTAGTGTGTACAGACTCGACCCAGGCCCATGGGTGAACATGGCCAGGTGCCTGCCAGCTCGGGAGCACGTACAGATCGCCACACGCTGTCTGTTACGATACGATCTTAACTAGAGTACGGGTTTAACTAAGGGCCTAGGCTTTGTAGCCTAGGCCAAACGGGTGTCGAGTAGTTTGTGCCAAGGAGAATTGAAAATGGTTGGAGGTTCACTATAGCACACGAGTACATATAGCAACCTAACAAAGATGAAAGAGGTGCACCACGATACAAGGGAATTACACAACAGCTACACTACAGGCAGATTATACTAAATAGATATAAATCTATTGTGACACTGTCCTCCGGGGGTGAAGGTGTCAACCCACACATCCTGAAGGACGGCGTTGCTCACCAAGTTCGTAGAGAATGAGGGGAGGTGGAGACCTGACAGTGAGCCAGACGAAACCGCCGGAAACGACTGAATAGTGGAGGAACGTGCAAGGACTGGGCCCCCAGAAGGGTCAGCCAGAGAGACAGCAATAGGTGCTGAGAGCGGTGTGACTGTGGTACTGTCGCGAAAGAAACAGCGTGAAGCACCTGAGTCAAGCGTGAAGGTTTGCAGGGCCGCAGCAGACGTAGCACCAGAGAGAGCAGACTCACCAGTACCTAAGAGAGCAGACTCACTAGCACCTAGAGCAGTAGCCTCTATACCTGGGTCGGATGGCACACACAGGTAACAGTCACCCTCAACACGTCTCTGAGACGCCCAACGCTGAGCAAACCACTCACGAAGCTGCTGGGGCGAAAGGGTCTCACGTGGACGCCACTGCAGCTGCACCGGGCCACCTCCAGAAACTCCCAACTGAGTAGCTGCACCGCGACTGCCACTACGGCCACTGCGCTGAGACGCCCAACGCTGAGCAAACCACTCACAAAGCTGCTGGGGTGTAAGGATCTCACGCGGACGCCGCTGCAACTGCATCTGGCCACCGCCAGAACCTCCCAACTGAGTAGCTGCACCGCGACTGCCACTACAGCCACTACGCTGAGACGCTCAACGCTGAGCAAACCATTCACGGAGTTGTTGGGGTGTAAGGGTCTCACGCGGACGCCGCTGCAGTTGCATCTGGCCACCGCCAGAACAGCTCCACAGCGACTGCTACGACGACCGCCACCACTCCCACCGCTGCCGTGAAGAGAAGTCATGCGACTAGCAGGGCAGCACGTAGGGAAGGAAGGGCGGCGAGGAGGCACTATGGTAGGTCGGGGCGGTGTACGGTCAGGGAAGGGCGGCGCGCGGCCAGAGCAGTGCTGCACACTGCTAGAGCAGGGTGGCGCACGGCCAGAGGAGGGCGGTGTGTGGCCAGAGCAGGGCGGCGTGCGGCCAGAGCAGGGCTGAGCGCGGCCGGGGCAGGGCGGCGCGTGGCCAGAGAAGGGCAGCGCGCGGCTAGAGCAGGGCAGCGTGCGGCCAGAGCAGGGTGGCGTGCAGCCAGAGCAGGGCGGCGCGCGGCCAGTAGCAGGCAGTAGCTCCTAGGGCAGAAGCACCAAGGGCTGTTTTTTTTTTAAATTAAATTAATTTATTTATTTATTTATTTATTTATTTATTTATTTATTTATTTATTTATTTATTTATTTATTTATTTATTTTAGGGTTTAGCAGGGCGCACAGGGCGATGCAGAGGCGACTCAGGCAGGGCAGAGCAGGGCGCCAGTGCGCGCAGGGCAGGGCGCTGGCGCATTGGCAGGGCAAGGCGCTGGCGCAGGCAGCAGCGCGCACGGGCAGGGCGGCGCTGGGCAGCGAGTGCAGGCCCGCGGCGGGCGCAAAACGCTTGCACGGCAGGCGCAAGGGGCGGGCCCGCGGCGGCGTAGCGGACAGGTGCGGGAGGGGCGAACGGGCGGGCCCATGACGGGCCTAACGGGTAGGCGCGGCTCGGCAAAGGCAGGACCCGCGGCGGGCCTAACGGGCGGGCGCGGCAGCGGGCGTAATGAGCAAGCGCGGCGGTGCGAAGGGAGGGCCCGCGGCGGGCGTAACGGGCAGGCGGTAGGGCGCGACGCGCAGGGCAGCAAGGCGCGACGCGTGGGCTGCAGTAGAGCGTGTTGGAGTAGGCTAGAGCTCGCTCTGGTCTTTATTTTGGTGTTCTTATATTATTTCTCCATGCTTAGAGAGCGTTACGCATTCAGGTTCATTTTAGGTTCATTTTGTAGCTTTTAGTACAAACCGAACACACCCTAGGTTCAATTAGGGTTTCCAACCATCTCTCTTTTGTACCTCGACATTTCTCTTCTTAGTTCAACCTTTTTGACCTCACCAAACACTCTCGCCATCCATGGCTTCTCTAACTTCAACATGGTATTCAGAGCCTAGTCCTAGGCGTTTCCCTTTTATCCGCATCTCTTAGAAATTTTCTGGTCCTTAGGCTATTTCCGCGCTACTTACCTAGATGGTTTTCTTTTTTCTTCTATTCTACCGTCTCCTTAAAGTCACACTTAGCATCCTCGCGGTTTTCTTCATTTTAGTCACGCGGATGCTCTATTTCACTCCGTAGCGCACCTCCCTACCGTCCGTTCGCTCTCCTGCGCCTTCCCCCTTCGTCGCGCCTCCTCCTCTCACGTTACCGGCGGTAGCGCGCTGTTTTTTGCTCGTAGCGCGCTCAGCTGCCCCCCCTCCCCTCCGCCCCCCTTCCCGTCTCGTCGCGCGCGCATTGCGCTGCTGTCGCCGCGCGCGCTTTGCTTCGTCGAGCAACGCGCGCGCTTGCCTCCCCTGCGCCGCACCCTGCCCCTTCCCAATCCGCCCTCCCCTCCCTCGCCCTCCTCCTCCTTTCCACTCTCCTTTGTCCATCCCTCCCTATCTCACCTCTTCCTCCTCCTCCTTTCTCTCCTCATCTGCTGCAACTCGTGCGTGCTTGTGGCGCACTCTTCCCACAAACCCGCCCCTTCACCATCCTCCTCCTCTCCTCTCTCCCTCTAACTCCCCTTCCGCTCGTTTTCCTCCACCTCTTTTCTCTCCCCATCTGCTGCAGCTGGTGACTGATTGTGTATTGAAGTTGTTGCTCCTCCACACCTTTCCTCCTCCTCAGTACCCTCCCCTCAACTGCTCAACTGCGAACTCCTTCACAACTATCCCTCCTCTTATTTCTCCCCTCAGCAGCACAGCAGCAGACTACCTCGCCACTATCCCTCCTCCTCTAGTTTCTCCCCTCAGCGGCGCAGCAGCAGACTACTTCGCCACTATCCCTCCTCCTCTTGTTTCTCCCCTCAGCGGCGCAGCAGCAGACTACTTCGCCACTATCCCTCCTCCTCTTGTTTCTCCCCTCAGCGGCGCAGCAGCAGACTACTCCGCCACTATCCCTCCTCCTCTAGTTTCTCCCCTCAGCGGCGCAGCAGCAGACTACTCCGCCACTATCCCTCCTCCTCTAGTTTCTCCCCTCAGCGGCACAGCAGCGGACTACTCCGCCACTATCCCTCCTCCTCTAGTTTCTCCCCTCAGCGGCACAGCAGCGGACTCCTTCGCCCTTATTCCTCCGCCTCTTATACCTCTCCCTTCATCTGCTCTGCAGCTGTCTCCTCCTCCTTATGGCGACCTCTCTCGCCCTCCCCTCCCTCCCTCTGCTGGTCCTTCAGCTTGCGCCTGATGGCAGCGCAGTCAACTTCCCCAGTTGGCTGAACTGTCTCGAGCGCACGCTGTCTGGCACCCTCGTGAGTGGCTTTAACCTCTGGTTTGTCACTCAGCAAAGTGGTTCTGGCGCCATTCCTAAACATGCCTCTGCACCTACCTCTACCTCCTCTGACCCCTATGCTGATGGCCTTCGTGCTGCTATCGCTGAAACTGAGCGGATTGCGGCCACGGCCCAAGCCACTGCTGCTGCTGCTCCTGACAATGCTGCAGCCCGTGACCTCGCTCGTGTCCTTGCTGAGTCCCTCGAGAGCACCCGCAAGCGCCTCACTGAGCGCCTCGCTGCCCCCTCTCCTCGTTCTGCCTCTACTCCCTCTGCTTCTGCTCCATCTCACTCTGACCTTCTCGCTGACTGGCATGTTGCCAACGCACGTGCCTGCCAGGTCATCCTTGCCTGCCTACCTCCAACCCTTCTCCCTCAGTGCTCGCACATCCGCTATGCCAAGGACCTTCTCGGCTATCTTACCGAGCGCTTCCAGTCGCAGACTCCCATCAGTGTCATTGCCCTCTTACGCGAGCTTACCTCTCTTCGCCTTGCTGACTTCACCACCATGGCGGACTACATCGCTCGTGTGCAGACGCTGTCCTCCCAACTTGCCTCTCAAAAGTTTGAACTCTCCGATCATGTGTGCGGTGCCCTCCTCCTCACAGGCCTCACTCCTGAATACAGTGTTCATGTCACTCTGTATGGTGAGCGCCCTGCCGACCAGTGGTCGTTCTCTCGTGTCTCTGCCTTCGTCCTCCAGGCAGAGCTCAACCTCCGCAGCTGCCCTTTTACTGTCTCCGCTGTCACACCCTCTTCCGCCCCCCCCCCTCTCCCCACCTCCACTGCCGCCGCTGCTTCCTCTCGCCCTCGCAACACCTTTCCTCCTTGCACCTACATCATTCGCCAAGGGCCCCGCAAGGGTCAGCCATGCGGTCGCACCAATCATCCCTCCTCCTCCTGCTTCCAGAAGCTCACCGATGACTGGTTCCTGGCTGGCAACACTGGTCGCCCTCCCAACTGGCTTCAACTCTCTCGTCAGCGTCGCCAGTCTTCTGCCCAGGCGGTACTTGTGGCTGCCGACTCTGGTACCAGTGCTCAAACCTCTGCTCTCAGTGTGACTATGCCTAGTCAGGGTAGCATTATGGGAGCTTCTCCCCTTATGGACCCTCGTTTTGCCATGATGTTTGCTCCTTCTGTTAGTGGCAATGATTCTCAGTATCTTCGTCCCACAGCTGCTGCTCTTTCTCTCCCTCACACTCTTGAGTTTGTTCTTGACAGTGGTGCCACTGACTCTGTTTTTCGTGATGCTGGTGTGCTTCGCTCTTTTCCCCAACCCCTCTCCATCCAAGGAGTTGGGGATACCATGACCATGACTTGCACTGCTACCTCCTCTCTTCCCTGTCCTGCCTCCCCCTCTGGTGCTGTGACTGGCCTCTATGTCCCTTCCTGCCGCCACAACCTTCTCTCTCTCTCTGCACTTCAACGTCTTTGTGTGCGAGCTATCTTTCCTGAATGTGACTCCTATTGTGATCTCTATCATCGCAACCGCCATCTTGCACGCTTTACTCTTTCCCCTATCACTCGCCTCTACACTCTTCGTGTCTCTCTCCCCCCTTCTGCCCATCATGCCTCTTCCGCTTCCGCCCCTCCCGTTCCTTCTTGCGACTGTCGTTCTCTCACTCAACCTACCCTTCTCCTCCATCATCAGCTTGGCCACCCCAATTTTCCCCTTCTTCGCAGTATGGTCTCCTCCAAGCTTCTTCATGGCCTCCCTTCCTCTCTCCCCCCTCTTCCTCCCTCTCCTGCTCCTCCATGCACCCCATGTGTCCAGGCCAAATTATCCCAGTCACCCCATCCCTCTTCTCCCTCTGCCTCTCCCCAACCCCTTGACCTTGTTCATATGGACCTCTGGGGTCCTTCACCCACTGCGTCTCGTCAGGGTCATCGCTACTTTCTGCTTTTGGTTGATGACCACTCACGATTTGCCACTGTCTATCCCCTCCGTGCCAAATCTGACGCTCCCTCCCTCATCATTCGATGGGCTGAGCAGGCTCGTCTACGCTTTAAGCGTCCTATCGCACGCTTCCACTCGGATGGTGGTGGCGAATTCTTTAATCACTCTCTCTCCTCTTACTATGCCTCTCATGGCATTCGCCAGACCTCCACTCTTCCTCACTCACCAGAACAGAATGGGGTTGCCGAGCGTCGCAATCGCACTCTCATGGAAATCACTCGCTGCCTTCTCACCCATGCCTCTGCTCCCCACTCTCTTTGGAGCTATGCTCTCCTCCATGCCACTCTTCTCTCTAACCTCCGCCCTCATCCTCTTCGCCCTACTACCACCCCCTTCCAGCTTTGGACTGGCCGCCAGCCCTCGCCCTCTTCGGGTCTGGGGGTGTGTCGCCCATGTTCTTGTGAATCCAGCAGACCGGTCCTGTCAGGGTGGGAAACTCGCTCCCAAGACGCAGCTCTGTGCATTTCTTGGCATCAACTCTGACTGTCCTGGCTATCTTTTCTATGCCCCTTCCTCTCACCAACTCATCCGCAGCCAGGACGTCATTTTCGATGAGACTCAATCCCCATTCCATTCCCCCCCACCCGCCCCTCCTGTCCCCTCTCTTCACTGGTCTGATTTCGATCAGCCGCCGTCTGTCCTTCCCTCCCCTCCCCCCTCCCCTCCTATCCCGCCCCTTCCCGCCCCTCCCTCTGCGCCAGCCTCTACTGCCCCCCCTTCCGACATCATCTCTGGCGCCTCCCCACCCGCCTCTTCCTCTTCGGCTCCCCTCCCTTCCTCACTTCCATCTTCCTCTCCACCTCCTTCGTCTGTTCCCATTCCCCCCCCTTCCCCACGCCTTACTCGCTCCATGATTCGCGCACTTTCTAATTTTCAGCACTCTGCTCTTTTCACTCGTCTTTCTCCATCTCAGAATGTTACTCTTCTTAAAGATCGCTTTGAGGAGCTCTTCAACATTCATCCTGTTTCTCCTCTCCTGTGTGTCACCGTTGGTGACTTCAGCAATTCCCCCACTCTTCTCTCTGTCGACACCGCTGCCATCCCCACCCCTCAGTCCTACTCCGAGGCTGTGTCGGGCTTTCATGCCACTGAGTGGATGGCTGCCATCATTGCTGAGTGTGAGGCATTCACCATAACTAATTCATACATTGACTCTGTCCCCCCCCCTGGCACCACCATTGTCAAAGGCAAATGGGTCTTCCGTGTCAAGCAGCTGCCCGGCGAACTTCCTGTCTTCAAGGCCCGCTACTGTGCCAAGGGGTTCACTCAGCGTGAAGGCATTGATTACTTTGCCACTTACTCCCCCACAGCCCGTCTCCCCACCCTTCGCCTCCTTCTTGACTTAGGTGCTCGCTGGAATTGGGAGCTCCATTCCATGGACGTTTCCAATGCTTTCCTCCAGGGCGAGCTGCATGAGCGCATATTCCTTGAGCGCCCCGCTGGCTTTCCTCGCCCTTTCCCTCCAGGCACGGTTTGGGAATTGAAACGACCTGTGTATGCCCTTAAACAGGCCCCACGCGAGTGGCACGCCAAGCTCGCCTCCACCCTTCACTCTCTTGGCTTCTCTACCTCCACCTCCGACCCCAGTCTCTTCATTCGCACATCCCCCCACAGGCTTTACATCCTTGCCTATGTGGACGATTTGGTGCTGCTTGCTGAGGACTCCACCGATCTTGCAGCTGTCAAGAAGGCCCTGCAGGCGCGTCTCCTATGCAAGGACCTTGGCGATCTTCGTCACTACCTCGGCATGGAGATCCGTCGTGATCGTGCTGCCCGCACCATCTCTCTCTCCCAGTCTTTCTATATCCAGTCCATACTCCAGCGGTTTGAGATGTCGCAGGCCAAGCCGGTCTCCACCCCTCTTCCCGCTAACCATCAACTCACTGCCCATGCCGTCCCTGCTCCCTCTTCTGAGCTGCGGCCTTATCCTGAGCTCGTTGGATCTCTCATGTATGCTATGATGTGCACTCGCCCCGACCTTGCTTACCCCCTCAGTGTTCTCTCTCGCTTTGTTGGTCTAGGCCGCCACACTGACGTGCACTGGGCGGCTGCTAAGCGCGTCCTGCGCTATCTGCGCGCCACCTTTGACCTTGCTCTCACTCTTGGTGGCTCTGCTCCTCCCGTTCTCTCCGGCTACAGTGACTCTTCCTATGCTGACTCCCGCCCTGATCGCCGCTCATCTCAGGGCTATGGCTTCACTCTTGGCAGTGGTCTCATAAGCTGGCGCTCTACTCGCTCATCCTCTGTCTGCCTTTCCACCTGTGAGGCTGAGTTGTACGCAGGCACCTTGGCAGCTCAGGAGGCTCGCTGGCTCTCCTTTCTCCTTGCTGAGCTTGGTCACTCTCAGTCCTCTGTGACGCTCTCCTGTGATAGTGCGAGCATGATTCATCTCACTGAAAATCCTATCTATCACGCCCGCAGCAAGCATATCAAGGTCCGCTATTTCTTTGTGCGCGACTGGTGCAGTCTGGTTTCTTACGTCTGCGCAAGGTGGCCGCTGCTGCCAACCTTGCTGACATTTTCACCAAGGCTCTTATGCGTGCGCCACACCGTTTCTACGTGCGCGAGCTTGGGCTCACGCGTCTCTCCACTTCTGGGGGTGTGCCCGTTCGCTAGGTGTTTTGCTCCAGAGCTTCACCTAGCCTAGGGGTGTGTTGGAGTAGGCTAGAGCTCGCTCTGGTCTTTATTTTGGTGTTCTTATATTATTTCTCCATGCTTAGAGAGCGTTACGCATTCAGGTTCATTTTAGGTTCATTTTGTAGCTTTTAGTACAAACCGAACACACCCTAGGTTCAATTAGGGTTTCCAACCATCTCTCTTTTGTACCTCGACATTTCTCTTCCTAGTTCAACCTTTTTGACCTCACCAAACACTCTCGCCATCCATGGCTTCTCTAACTTCAACAGAGCGCGACGCGCGGGGCAGCAGGGCGCGACGCGCGGGCTGCAGCAGGGCGTGGCGCGCAGGGCAGCAGGGCACGGGGCAAAGCAGGGCGTGCGCGAGGCAGCGCGACGCGGGGCAGGGCAGGGCGTGCGCGATGCAGTGCGACGCGGGGCAGGGCAGGGCGTGCGTGATGCAGCGCGACGTGGGGCAGGGCAGGGCGTGCGCGGGGCAGCGCGACGCGGGGCAGGGCAGGGCGTGCGTGAGGCAGCACGACGCGGGACAGGGCAGGGCGTGCGCGAGGCAGCGCGATGCGGGGCAGGGCAGGGCGTGCGCGGGGCAGCACGATGCAGGGCTGGGCGTACACGGGCTGTGTGACGCAGGGCAGGGCAGGGCAGGGCGCGCGCTGACGGTGCAGCGCAGGGCAGGGCATGGGGTAACGCGGTAACCGCAGTCGGTCACTAAGTAATGGCGGGCCCAAAAAAAAAACGGTCTTAGGCTAGGACCTGCTCTGAAACCATGTCAGGAGAATGAACGAGGAATGAAATGACTAACAGCAGGATGGGTACAAGTGCTAACCCTAATTGGGTTGTACCCCATATGGGCTACCCCACTATAGCCTGCACAATGAGCAACATATAAGTTTGACAAGATTTTTGACAGTGTCGCTGATGTTATAACTGAAGGATCGTAGTGGATAGGATAAGACTGTTAAGTATGTGAGAGAACTATGAAGTCTCTGTAATGACCTTGTTGATAAAGTTGAAGAATAAGATAATCATAACACGGAAGTACAGGAATATAAATAGCAATCCTAGCTAGCCATGTACTCTGAGGGGTACATTCCCTTATTAACTGAATTACATTGCTACAGTAACCACGACTATTGCCATTCTTGACAGTTACCACGTTGCATCTTGTAACTGCCGGGTGCGGTTACTGGACAGTCAAGGGTCACGATTGTTGACTGTCTTCGGCTGTTGACCTTCAGGTGACCCTCGGTCTTCCGCATGCTCTATATGAGCTATTGCGATACTGATACAGTCACGTTGCTTCGTTATGGAGTGACGCGAGAGTGGAGAGCCTTCGGGAATATTTCCATAACCTTCTTGGTTATTCCAACACTCCCCTTCATTCCTGAAGGTGAGCCACGTGGGATTTCTTCGAGATCCCGCAGAGGTCGGTGCAGTGCTGAATCTTCTGACGTGGCAGTTTCTTGGTCAAGAAAGCTGCTGCCATGTCA